CCGGCTTATCATGTAGCGGTAGCTTTCGGAAAGGTGGAAAACATATATTTAATACTTGCGCCGGGTATTTAATGTTCGGCTCCGCCCGAACTTAGACTTTCTTACTTGTTTTTTTTTTTAACTACCCTGATATCGGTTGTCAAAATTACATTAACAATTAAAGAACCTCATTCAACTTTGCCTCCTTTAGAAAGCAAATTAACTCCCTAAGCAGACCAAAGTCGTTTTTGACAAAAATTTCTTTAAAACAATTAAACTTCTCAAAGAAGGTGTACGTGTCCCTGATCGCAGAAAATCTCCGACATACAAATTTTAGGCGCTCATTGGACTCCCTCACCCCGCAAGACCAGCAAGTGTCCGACACATCTCTTTTGAACTTACTCAAAAAACATTCCCATAGGTGTGACCTGAAACAAGTCTGTTTATTAGCTTAACATCTTGGACTTCCAAGTCACATTTTTTATTACAGAACCAATGCGAGTTTGTTATTCTACCGACGTTTTCAGCAAAAGTCTTACCTTTCGTCAGAGATATTTCAAAATACTCCTCCTCCCATTCGCTCCATATATTCTTGCAGATAATTCTGAGTCACTCCTCAATCGTTAACTTAACAAGCACTCTTCTACCATTACTAACTGCTGCCTTTGCTGCTATGTCTGCGTTCTCAATGTAAAAAATGCCCACATGGCTAGGTACCCAGATGAGTTTTATGCTCCGCACCCGGAGCCATGTAAACTATTATGGATGGAAGCAACAATATGATTTGTTGTACATTTCTTATCAATAAGCCTCAACGCAGCCATGCTATCAGAGATAATAGCAATCTTTTTGAAAATGGTCCTAACCATTAACGATACCGACTCCTTAATGGCGACAAGCTCACCGAAAGTTGACGCAAAATCCCCCGAGATATTATACAAATATGAAAAATTGTTTTGTGGATCATAAACGGCAAGACCCGTCACCCCTTCACCCACAGAAGCATCCGTGGCAACCAGATAATAGCCATCGTCCTTAAGCTCACTAAATCTACACAGGTACCGGCTTCTAAGTTGTAATACACTTTAATTAGCTTTTGAAGCAGACAGACCAGATAATTCAACTGACAAATTATTGTGCCTACAGAACCTGGTCTCCGTTCCAACTCTATTGAAGATAGTCTTATATTTGTTGTATACAAACGAAATAACTCGATTTAAAACTCGCACCACACCTCAGGTCTTCCCTAAGGCGACGATTTCTCACCCAAGGAATTGGGTACCTTGGCTGTCAACCACTCCGCTCTTTTCAGGGGAGGGAGCTCCCCCGCCAGTGCGTACCTCACATGTACAGGCGAGTTTGGAGGCAGCCCCAAACATCGCCTAAGTGTCTCATTTAGGATCACCTGAATCTTTCCATTGAAACCAAAAGGTGCATTTGCATACGTCGTGTTTGCATACTCTGCCTTGCTCCTGACAAAAGCCCTGTAGAAGTTTAGCGCCACTTTCGGAACCAGTCCACTTTTAATAGGAGTCAACTTCCTCATAAGATTTTTCCCAGGAACCGCAATTTTCTTTAATCGGTTTACCTGTTCCCTTACCGACCCATTTGAGCTCACAATCCTGCCTAACCATTTCAGCGAGCAGACCTGCTCAATCTCACTACCACCAAACCTCAACAAAAAGGAATTTCTTCTATTGGAGTTTACACACATAAACCTGGTTTTCGCTATATTAATGCCCAAATTGAGGTCCCTGCACATACTACTAAAAGCAGCCAATTTTCCCTCCAAGATACCAATCGCATCAAGCTCCGTATCACCATAGCAAACAAAAGCAAAATCATCCGCAAACTGAAATATAAAAGCACTCTCATCCTTCAGGGCATGAAGCCCAGCCGTGTACAAGTTAAACACTACAGGAGAGAGACAGCTTCACTGCGGGAGCCCATTTCCCACCTGAATCGAGTGCCTCCCCAAGACAAGGGTTCTCCTTGAAAAGAAGTTGAACACCCACTCCCGTATGTTACCGTCCACATGCAGCTTTTCCATTATAACCCTCAGTCTATCGATGCGGACACAGTTATATGCATCCGAAATATCGAGCACGCACACAAACACCTTCTTCCTGCGAGCCTTTAACTTCCCAGACCAGTACAAAAATTCATTAAGACACATAGCAGCCGATCTACCCTTCCTGTAAGCAAAACTACCCTCCGGGAAAACATTATTCGATTCCGCCCACTCCATAAGTCTTTCTTTGACCATCATATTGAGGCACTTAGCAAACGCAGACAGTAGTGAGATAGGCATGAAATTCCTTATATCACTAAGAGCCTTCTCATGTTTAGGAATGGGCACATTTTGACTATCCTCCACTCGTCTCTCACGTGATTTTCGTTGAACAACTTTCTCATGTCCCGCAACATGGCCACCTTAGTGATCTCCGGAAGTCTTTTCAGCATACTGAAAGTAACTCCATCCATCCAAGCTTTGTGTGCCCTAAACGCCCACACTTGAAGCACTGTTTTGCTCTACGGAAAAAATGATTTACCCTGAAGCCCACACAAAAAAGCCTCACACAGTCGGGGATAACACTGCCCTTAAATCCAATTTTGATGGACAGAGTTGGAATAAATCTTTCTTTATTTACCGGGTCCCTTCTGGTTATTCTGGAAACCGACAACACTGGAATATCTGAATGAATCTGTCTTACCACACCATAAGTATCAAAAAAGCTACGCGGAATAAAAGCCCGTATACCCATACCCTGCAAATCAACATTAACCAAACTAGCATTAGCATCAGCAACCGAATAAAAGAAAACTTTGAACAGGGACCTACCGATCTCCACAATATCTTTTAGCCCTTTTACATTCAACTTGCGAATTTTTCCAAACAAAAAAAATCCATTTTTGACGCCTTTACTTTCAACCCCACACATCTAGACGTGTCCATAAGCACAACCGCATCGCCCTTAAAGTCACAACTGTACTTCGGGCTTTCCTGACGCTGAAAAACATTCCTTACATTTCGTTCACCCGCCGTATTTGAGCCAGCGTTGGCAAACATCTTTTCCCCTACCCCTGAATACATATATTCGGCACTATTGCCAACCGCATCAGCACCTGCATTAACACTCGACACACTAGCATCTACAACGCCACGTTCAAATGAGACAGTCGGTCCCAATTCACTTGCCACTACTGTACCACTAACACCAGCGGGAACCTCTTGCACTTGTGCTAAATTAATAGCCGAACCCCTCTTTACAAGCATGCCACTGAGCGGCGGAAGCCCGTCACAGCTCATACCCTCACTTGACTCACTAAAATTTTCAATTAAATCGTTTGCAACACTTTTAGGTCTCTTGGAATTTAAGGAGCCCGATGCCCTTTTCTTCCTAGCCTTACGCACTTTGCCCAAATTGGCCTGCGCATTTTTTCACGATGCGCACGCCATCTTGGACACAGCGCCCGACGCCGAAGCGTCCTCCATTTTGTACCACAAAAAAAAACCGCTATGCCACAGACACGATTTTCCACAATCAAAAAAACTTACCCACAAATAAATATCTACTTATAAATCTGCTTTCTATAAGCTGCAATACCAATTTAATTCACAGGAATGAGATCGCAATAACAACTACAAAATTATACTCTTACCATATATTTTATTTTTTTTTAGCGTTTTTTATTTTTGCTAGCGTTCATTTCCCACATTTGACATTTTTGTCCCTCCTCGAAGAAACAATTGATAAAACTAGAGGTGACACCAAAAAGTTAATGGTTGAATCTGAGATTAGCTCACGATTACATATTAGGGATGGGCGAATTTTGTGTGGCTAATCCGCTTTTTAAATCACAGATTAGAGACTTAAGCATAATCTACGTTCTTTGTCATAATCTCTGTATATGGAACACTCTCATAATTAAAAAAAGTATATACCTTGTTAAAAAATCGATCTCGTTTGCCAAATTTTTTGTCACATCACCGCTCAGGAAATTGACAGTTCAGTGGTTTGTCATAAAAATAAGTGGTCTGGCAACCTCCCATTGATTTTGTATTAATTCTGTGAAATCATTGTTTTTTTTTTTTTTTTTCNCATATGTATGTATCTATGGATTTGGTATTTGTCATTTTGTCATTTTTGTTACGCTCCCGCTCGTACACACGTCGTCGAGGGAACTTCATGCAGTTTTTGATACGAGGACTATACATATTCAAAGAAAGAATTTTCATCATAAATCACAAGTATAACCTGGCTGTAGAAGGATCCACATATCAGGAGCCTGGCCACTTACTGGATGTCATTGCGACATTCGCCTTAATCCAAAAAAAAAAAAAAAGAAATCATTGTTTTAATTGTTATAAGCGGCATTACGGAAGAAAAAGGAATTGAATGCTAAAAATATGTCGAATAACGATGAACTTATTGCACAATTTATTGAGATAAGCGGTGGAGATGAAAACGTCGCCAGATTTTATTTGGCAAGTTCCAATTGGTCTTTGGAGGTATGTGAATTCCATCCAAACATACATACATGTGTATGTGTGTACGTACCCATTCTTTTTTCCGGTTTCACTGCATGATTACAAAATTTAGGATGCACTTTCTCATTTCCTTGGCAATCAAGTTGACGGAGAGGGTGACAGTGAAGAACAATCAGTTGACAGAAATTCAGGCGGTGCGTCCGTTGATCCGCCCCCAACCAATTCGAGCAGTCGCAGTCGTCCGGAAATCGGCGCTGAAGGTTTTACCAAAAAAACCTCGGACAGACCCAAGTAATTTATAATTAATGGGGCTTTTGAAAAAATATGTTGCATGTTTGTTTATTTATTTTGATAACAACAGAGTTGCGACACTAAATGATATGACCAAACGTACGTCGAACGAAGAAGAGGGACAAGCTTTTTACGCCGGGGGCTCGGAGCGTTCAGGACAACAGGTTTTAGGACCACCGAAGCGTAAAAATTTCCGAGAACAGCTAACTGATATGTTTCGTATGGCACAAGAGCACAGTACCGGAGACTCGGCAGGCGGCTCAACCGGCCCGTCTACATCTGGTGCTGTACATTGGGGTCAGGGGGTTCGACTGGGCATGACTGATAACGATCATTCCGTCGTAGCGTCGCATCAAGGCGATGGCAACGCTACAGAGGAAAAAAGACCTATTGTAGTCCTGAAGTTGTGGAGTCAAGGGTTTTCCATTGACGATGGGGAGTTGCGCCTGTATGATGATCCCGAAAATAAAGAATTTTTAGAGACTGTGATGCGCGGGTAATTAGTTTATGACTTAAATTTTAATGTCATATACATTGTATTACTAAAACCATATAGAGAAATACCACATGAGCTATTAGAGATGGGTTGGTTGGTGAATGTAGATGTGGAAGATCATCGCCACGAAGATTATAAAAGGAAAAGTGTACCTCCGAAATTCAAAGGGTCCGGCCATACTTTAGGAAGGTAACAAATTTTTTTTCCATTAGAATAATCCACTTAAGTTCAACTAACTTGATTAATAGTCCAACACCTAATGTCGAAGGAGCTGCCGCCCCCAGCAGTGCCAAGCCAACGCCAAAGGTTCAAGGAAAAGAAGATGATGCTTCTGCTAAAGAGAAACTCAACATAGATTCTTCTCAGCCAACCACAACGTTGCAAATACGTTTGGCCGATGGTTCTCGTTTGATGGCACAATTCAATTTGAATCACACTGTTGCTGATATACATCGCTATATAATTAAGTAAACTTCTAGGACATATAATATATAAAATGTGATAACCTCTTATTTTTCAGCGCAAGGCCACAATATGCGGATGGAAACTTCAGATTAGTATCGTCATTCCCAACCCGTGAATTGACAGATGATGCCGCAACGATTGAGTTAGCTGGCCTTAAAAATGCATCGATATTACAACGAATGAACTGAGTCGCACACATATTTTTCATTGGGGCATAAAACCTCGGCTACTTGAACGGTGTATTTGTAAAATATTTACTCTTAAACATGATTTGTTCATTAATATAAAAAAAATAAAGCAAGATACAATGTATTGCTATTAAAATACCATCGCTTTGAATAAGTGTGAAAAGAAGTCTTGGATTTCATTTATTTGAGTATTTATTCAATACAATTATTGCAATCAAATACCCGCTTTACAAGGTGTGGTGCGTCGTTTTTCTTTGTTAACTTTTATATACCGTGTATACCGTGCGTTACATATGTATGTATTAGGGAAATCGCCCTTGACTAAAAAAACTAAGTTAATCAGTCTACCACTATGTGTACATTAGCTTCATTACTTCTAATCTTATATTATTTATGTTGTTCATGAAATTTTGACGCAATGCATTATGCCATGAATGCAAGCCGTCTTTTCCGATATTTACACAGTCAATGTATCTGTGAGCAAAAGCTAAAGATGGAGCTAAATTGGCAGAAGTACTTATAGGTCCTGCCGACGTAGTTGTTGCTGTCATAGGCACCCGAGGTTTATATATGTAAATGGTGTGTGGTTTCGCGACCTCTGGGTCATAAAAGCTATTATTTGTAAGCAATTTATTCTTCTGATCAATACAAACCGAGTAAGTTTGTAACTCAAATGCATTACTGTCAGCCCCATAAGAATGCAACGAATTCAACACAGAATTGTCCACATTTATCTTAGCATTTGGGAAAAAGAATTCGTTTGGTTCCAGCAATATAGAGAATTTCGCTCTGTGTATGGAACGCAGTAGGCAATCGGTCTTGATGATGTCTCGTATATTTGATGTGCTATTTTTGCTCGTAAAAGGAAAATTAAATGGTAACGATTGTACATGCAAATCTTTATGCCTCCTTAGTTCCCGCAAAAGATTTTCTGATAAGTCATCGCCATTGTAAACGATAAACTGATTGATGCCTAGGACGTAGTGGTGTAGAAAAAATTCCAACAAATTCGCATCATTTTTTCCGAAGTTACTGCTTATATTAAACGTCACTAAATCCAGACAAATCGCTAGTTGTGTTTGCGGCACGTTGCCTACTTGACCATTTTTAATAGGACGTAAACGAAGCATATGATTCGCATTGATCTTATCATTTTGGTCTGCATAAACAATGGTTTTGGGTGCCCCTATATCATTTTTGAGGCGACAGTAAAATATATATGTTTTGAATACAACATCGCCATTTTCTTTTTCTTGACCCAAGTGCTGAAAACGAAACTTGCCTTGCGAAAGGTGTCCTCCATAATGTGCGCTACATCGAAAATTTACTACAGCGCCAACCGATGCAGTTACCAGAGATAAAACTTCGCCACCTGAAGAGACAAGTTCGTTGCGATGCCAGAATGAAGCATAGGCGTGAAAGGAGTCCCCAATTAGCTGCCAGACCGGAATCGGGCGATTAAAATCAATTATGCCCTCATCCGTCCAGGTGAAGTTACTTATTAATCGTAACTCTGCCGCATCTTTCCGACTAAAGAAGTTCACCGCATTCAGGACATCTTTCAAACGTGTGTTTTCGTTTTTGTATGTAAGCAAGACAATTATGCTTATACAAGAAATTACGACCAATAAGAGCTGGTGATATTTACGCATTGTTTATCTGTAAAATAACCATTCCAAGCACAGTATACTGCGATTCCAAGTCGATAAACAAACGTATTTAGAGCAATTTAGAGGGTATGTAATTAGCAAAAAAAAAGAAAAACAATTGCTAAATTACAGATTGACATATGAAAAGGGTTGTCGAGGCTAAATATCAGGGTTGTACGAAAAAAGCACTCTTTTTACCAAAGGTCGTGGATACACTGGTTATAGTGCTGACTACACACGAGGTAACCGTTGAAGCTACCAGGGAGTTGGTTGCCTGAAGCACACGGAATTTCCGAACTGAGTAAGAGTAGTTTCTTACAATATTAAGCGCACATAACCACGTCAGGACCTAGATTTACACTGATATACATACGTATGTAGAAGAAAATATTAAGGGCCGGTTACTCAATGTCTAGTTAACACTAATCTGCGGTTAAACATCGTTATCGACGTAATCGACTCCCTGTTATATGCATGGAGTCGAAGCTATTTGTTACAATTCGCCCCGTGCATTATAACCAAGGTATTAATGAGAAAAAGTGGCAATATTGATTTTTCGCGTATACAGCGCTAGCTGCGTTTCAGTGACCGCCGATCGAGAATTCAATTATTATTTTGCATTACATTATATTACATTAGGTACGGATCTGAATAAGCGAAAGAACACGGCTGTTTGTCAAAAGCATACGATTTCGAGCTCGCGTAAATGTACATTTGGTAAATGTGATAGCATGAACGATCTTCGAAAACATATGTTCGAAAGTGCTAAATGTTGCATTTTAAATGCATCAAAAACGCTGCATTAAAGGCACAATTTAGGTAAAATTATACATTTAAATGCTTTAAAATGTGTTGTCTTGTTGAATTAACTTTAGCTCTTCTTTATTTAATAAATGTGTCAAATAGTGGTCATTGTGATATAAACAAACGCTCAGCTGACGAACGCGCTTCCACAAACTTCCCAGTAAGAACCCTATCTGTTAGCTAATGCATTATATACGCTGGGTTATTTCTCAACCAATTAGGTCGGTGTTATGCAGAAATTTTGTTTGGCAAACTGCGTGCAATTGTTGTTGCAGCAAACTCGGAGAGAGCGAGTTTGGCGACTCTCACAGCAAACTAATTTTGTTTGGTCAAACTGCAGCAAATTCGGTGTTGTCATATACAAAAATTTTAAATTTTGCGCGTTATGTACATCTGAAATTCTCATTTCGTGTTGGCAATAGCCAAGAAAACCATAAGGAACGTGCAACCCTGTGCCAAACTCGACATAACCACCTCCGAGCAAACTAAGCAGCCGCCATTTAATTTGGCAAACAAAAGTTTGTCTGCATAACACCGACCTTACAAATACAACGTCGCGTTCTTGCGTGATGTATTTTTGGTTCATGACGTTTACTTTTGACTTCAAAAAATATTGGCATCACTTATTAAAAGAATGACAGATGGCACCTATCCAAAATATTTTAAAGTATGGCATCATCAGGCTGTCATTTCAAATCTGGCAGCATCATGCTGCGTCATCTCAAATCTGGCAGCTTTGTCGACGAGTGCAGTCTTTGAGTGGTTTAGTGCGTGTATTTGATTTAAAATAATTCGTATTTTTACACTATTTTGCTTAAAATAATATATATTTGTGTATTTCCAAGAACGGTGAGTGTTAATTATGCACTTTTCTTATATTTTACTTGAAGATAATAGCAAAATTTAACAAAGTTTCGCCTGTGGCTGGCCGTCGTCGCCATTTTGGAAAAAAATTTCTCTGCTGAAAAGCGTATACAGAAAATTTTATCCATTTTTTCATCATTAGTATTTTACGTAATTTGGATGAATATTATTCCAAAGTCCAAATATTGATTAAAATTAAGACATAGTGGAATTACAATTTTTAATCTACTTGCATATCGCTGTATCACTGGCGAAATCGATGTACATATGTATGTAGGTTAAGTGTGCCTGAAAATCGGGATGAGCAATTACACAAAAAAAAAAAGATTTTTATCGGCCGAACTTACTACCCCCATTTGCATTGATATTGAATGATGTCCCGATAAATAAATGCAGAAGAATTAAGAGCTTGGAATCCCCTTTTGGTATTTAAATGGGTTTTATGCATGCATATAAATAACGTGCACGCATATGTATGGATGTACCCATGCGTGTGGCCAAACAGGTATACATATTTTTGGTATCGGCCTTTGTTTCTGCCAGCGTATATTCTGTATCTATGTGGCCGTGGACGCCTGGAACGAATGGTCCNAAAATTTACCAAAAGATGCAGGAAGGAACACTAAAATGTTTGTTACTTAAGGTAAAACTAATACTTCCACAAATTCTTAAATAATAAATATTTCAGTCACAAGAAAAAATTTTTCTGTGAAAAGTTTGAAAGAACCGCAATTAAATCCAAAATGGCTTCCGACACACAGACGTTGCACGTTCACCCTTCTTGAAAATCTTCGCAGGAAAAGGAACGAATGGTCCGCGTTCTTTTAATTGCTCTTTTACGGGCTCAAATGTAAAGGTCCAGTCAAATGTGGTAAAGCAAGTAATTGTGAAAAGTCGGTCTAAATTATAAGTAATTTCAATAGCTTCGACACAGTAGTTGGGTACAAGTGCAGTATCGCGGCATTTGTGAGCTAAAACAAAACTAGAAAATGGGCGTGGTTCGCCCTTTCTATTGATTTTAATGTTATATATTTTTGGTGCAAATTAATAGGCCACACTTAGGGATTATAACCCTCACTAAGTAGAATTCTCCTTTCTATGTTGCCGAAGAAAAGGGGCTGAACACCTTTTACAGAAGCCCTGTTCGCGTACGCACTATCTAGTAAAATGCAGTACTAATTTTACTGGTTTTTACTGGATGCCGTTTGCGTGCGCAAAAACTTGCGAGAAACCAGCAAAAGAGAATTGAGAGAGCAAAAATGACAGCTGAACTTGCAAGTTTTACTGGATAAATTTTTACTAGCACCTACCTACTTGCCAGTAAAAAAACAGCAGATGACATGATGCTTAACGCAATTCACATACAAATGTTTGAACTGCTATTAGAGTTGCAATTGACAAAATAAACCTATTTAAAAATATAATAAGATGGGAAATACAATTTTTTTTAGAAAATTGCGTCGGAAAATAACAAATTAATCAGCTGTTCATAAAACTTGGCAACTTCTTGCTGGTTTTGCATTTTCGTACTTTCTTGCACATTTCTCTCATTGGGAGTAAATATTGGCTTACTCTTCGAAATTTGGTTACTGGCAAGTTATTGGATATTTTTTGCTGGAGAATACGAAAACATAACTGGAGATAGATATTTCCTAGATATTTTATTTTGTTTGACAGCTCAGCCCCAACAAACACAGTCTCTAACGTTTGAGAAATTTGGATTTCTACATTAGATAACTAGGGTAATGGTGCATTTACATGGTATGAATCTGTTCATAAGCCGTATGAATTTTCCTATAAAAGAAGC